GTGCTACATATTGCACAAGAACATCACCCTAAACCAGGGCTATTCAACTGGCGGCCCGCGGGCCACATCCGGGCCACGAGTGACCAAAGCTCGGCCCGCCAATTGGTTCATTCATCTCTTACGCCCAAACCCCCGGTTTTTCTATTTTAATTTCTCTAAGTTATTTTAGTACAACATAGACGTGTTTGGTATCTACAGAAATGTCAGAATCTTGTCTTGAAGGTGGTAAAATAATTTATATGAACACCCAAGACAGTTAAAACTACAAGCAGTTGAAGATAAAACTATGAAAGCGAAAATAAAATGGGTTTAGTCTGACATGTCAAAATATTATGTGTGTTAAATAGGAGGCATAATGTGTCATTTATGATTTTTGATGATGTTCAAATATCACTACTTTTATAGGGTTCTGTATGTTGTACTCATGATTAATGCAGTAAAAAAAAACTATTTCAAAGATAACAGATCTTTGTAATACTTGGTTTATTTACATAATGACTTTAACTGCTGATTGTTCGGCCCCTGAGCTGTTGGCCTGCAGTAAATGTGGTCCCTGGAGCAATTTATTTGAATAGCCCTGCCCTAAACCTTTGGACCCAGCCCAGTCTGTTAGCMAAATATCTCATGAACAGGTGGACACTGATTAATGAGGCAAAGTTTCTCCTCAGACAATTGGTCGAAAAAATTATGGATGTATGTTTGATACTTGTTATTTGCAATTTAAGCTGCAAAATAAATGCACTTAATTATTTTCCTTTGTTAGTTATCAGCTTGAAGCAAGTTTTTCTGTTACTAACAACTAAGCTAGAACAAGACAACAAACCTGAATGTTGTCTAATTATTTTTGTATTTTCCTCGTGTGCAAAGCAGAAAATTATCTTCATAAAAATCATAGAAAAAACAAAAATGAAATCCCATATGGCTACACCCAAACACATATTAGCTGAGATTAACACAGCACCCAGAGGTAAAGASACCAAATGAGAGAAGACTAAAGAAAATAATATTTTTGCAGATCTCAGCTGCACTGTGGCCCAGCCTCTAATTTGTGAACACACACACACATTACATGCCTGCACTCACACACAGGCCTCTTAATATATGCTCGTACGTGTGTAAATAGATAGGACTAGCCGAGACCTGCAGCAGCCTGTTGCTAGGTTACTCGTTTAGTGATTCTTTCTCATCCTGGGTAACAAACAGCTCCTCTGTTGCTCAATGCACACATACACCACCACTCTCTCTCATAYGCACACACACCAACACACTAACTCTGTTTGTCCCTATCCAGGCAGAAAAAGAGGGAGCACCTGTCTGCTTTATGGGTTTAATCTCAGCAGAAAAAGGGGATGGCAAGCAGAGGACAGAAGGAACGCTCACTTTGGCCTCTCTGCACTGCTTCACCTCAGCCCAGATGCCTTTAGAGCCAGAAATAAAAAAAGAGTGAGAAATGATTGTCCCACCTAGAATAAATTAGTTACAGGAAGCTTTGTCAAAGATTGCGGTCAAAGGGTTGGGCAACTGAAATGCATATTTAATTTCACTGTAGAGATAGGCTGTTTTATGGTGGACAGTAACAGATTTAAGATGTTTTTTTAAGACAAGCACTGCTGTGATTTGAGGAGGGTGTGATCAAACAACCACAGAGGATCTGTGATACATGTCCAAGGTAATTCTTTGCAGAATTTAAAGTGAGTCTGTGGATTTTGAGACAAGAAAGCAGCCTCATATGTATTTACTTACATGGTATGTACCCAGGTTTGTCAATTAATGTAAAAAAAACTGTGTGCATGTATTTTTCYTCACCMAGGAGACATTTCAATWWAACAAATCAACTCACTTTTTTAAACAAACCCCTTGATATTGTCACTACCTACAAATATCTTGGAATTACTTTGGATTCTCATTTGACCTAT